AGCTGTGTTCCAATAAAACTTTATTTATAAAAAACAGGTGCTAGGGCAGGTTAGAGCTGTGGGCCATAGTTTGCTGATTCTTGATCTATATCATAATAATTCTAGACGGCCAAAAAAGTGTATTACATTCAAGTATTTCTATTTCTCAAACTGAAAACTAAATTTCATCTCTGCAGAATTTGATTTCATCATAAGAAGTAATTGATCAAGGCATGTTACATGTTATTTTTCATCTAATTGCTTAAAATCATAAACAAACTCATAAAATTTTTGCTAAGTATCTTTTTAAGAACTTGGAAAACACTGCATTTACTGAATAAAATGTCATAGGTTGGTTCAGTGAGAGTTGGAGAGGCAATATAAGGTGCAGAGAGCACAAACTTAAGAGTCAGACTGAGTTTAAATCCAGACTACCACTAACTGGCTGTGTGACCACATGCAAGTTACCTGACTTCTCTGAGCTTTAGTTTTCTCATTTGAAAATAGATAACAATAGTCCTACCTCATAGGGTTTTTATGAAGATTAAATGAGTCAGTTCACATGAAATACTTAGCATGATGCCCAGACCACAATAGATGATCAGTTAAAATGGTGATCTAACTCCCTTAAATAGTAATTTTTGATAAGCCTGGGTATATGATAGGGTTTCCAGGTTCATAGTGTTACAGTTTAATTTCAAGAACTTAATTTTAATTTGTTAGAATAGGCAATTTCAGTACAGTCAAAGGACACGAAAATCAACCTACAAAAAACTAGCTGCATTTCTATACACAAACAACTATCCAAAAATGAAACTAAGGGGAATTCCATGGTGGTCTGGTGGTTAGGAATCTGCACTCTCACTGCTGAAGGCCCAGGTTCAATCCTGAGTCAGGGAACTAGGATCCCACAAACCACATGGGTGGCCACAAATAAACAAACCAAAAGGAAATTAAGAACATTCCATTTACAATAGTGTAAAAAAATAGAATATAATACTTAGGAATAAAATTAATCAAAATGGTGATAGACTTGTACACTAAAACCTACAAAACACTGACTAAAGAAATAAAGACAGATGGAACGATGTCCCGTGTTCATGGATAGGAAGAATTAATATTGTTAAAACGTCAGTATTTACCAAAGTGATCTATAGATTCAGTGTAATCCTTATCAAAATCCCAATGACATTTTTACAGGAATAGAAAAACAATCTTAAAAATTCATTTGGAACCATAAAAGACCCCGAATAGCCAAAGCAATTCTGAGCAACAAGAACAAAGTTGAAATGCTCCCTCATTTTAAAATGTATTACAAAGCTACTGTAATCAAAAACAGTATAGTACTAGCATAAAAACAGATAGACTATGAAAAAGAATAAAAGAGACCAGAAATAAACCCTGGCATATATGTATGGTCAACTAATATTGGACAAGGGAGCCAAGAAGACTCAATGGGGAAAAGATAGTCTCTTCAATAAATGGTGTGGGGAAAACTGGATATCCACATGTAAAAGAATAAAATTGGATTATCTCACACCATATACAAAAATCAACTCAAAATGGATCAAAGACTTAAACACAAACCCTGAAACAATAAGACTGAGAAAACGTAGGGAAAAAGCTTCTGACATTGAACTGTACAATTATTTCTTTGATATGGCATCAAAAGCACAGGCAACAAAAGCAAAACAAGACAAGTGGGACTACATAAAACTAAAAAGCTTCTGCACAGCAAAAGAAACCACCAAAATGAAAAGGCAACTTACGCAATAGGAGAAAATATTTTCAGACCGTATATCTGACAAGGAGTTAATATTCAAATATATAAGGAACACCTATAATTAAATAGCCAAAAAAGTCCCCAAATAACTCGATTAAAAGATGGGCAAAGGACCTGAATAGACGTTTCTCCAAATAAGACATACAAATGGCCAACAGATGTATGAAAAGGAGCTCAATGTCACTAATCATCAGGGAAATGCAAATCAAAAGCATGAGATACCACCTCACACCTGTTAGGATGGCTGTTATCAAAACAAAAACTCACAAAGGACAAATGTTGGCAAGGATGTGGAGAAAAGGGAACACTTGTACTTTGTGGGAATGTAAATTGGTGCAGCTACTATGGAAAACAATATGGAGGTTCCTCAAAAGATTAAAAATAGAATTACCATTTGATCCAGTGATCCCTTTTCCGGGTATATAGCCAACAGAAGTGAAATCTAGATCTCAAAGAGAGAGTTGATAGTTGAACGCACTCCCACGTTCCTTGCAGCATTATTCATGATCACCAAGGCATGGAAACAAATGTCCGTTGATATACAAATGGATAAAGAAAATGTGGTATGTACATAAGGTGTAATATTATTTAGCCTTGGAAAAAGAAGGGAATTCTGCCATTTGCAACAACATAGATGGACCTTGAGGGCATTATGCTAAGTGAAATAAGCCAGAAAGAGAAGTTATGTGTGGAATCTAGAATAGTCAAACTCATAGAAGCAGAGACAGAATGGGGATTGCCAAAGGCTGGGGGAGGGGAACATGGGGAGGGGAACATGGGGAGGTGTTGGTTAAAGGTTACCAAGTTTCAGTTATGCAAAATAAGTTCTGGAGATCTATTGCTAAGAGGAAAAAAAAAAAGGGCACCAGGGCTGCAGAGCCTCTCTGAGCTTTCTGCAAGGGAGTAGGTATGAGCATTGGTTTTGGATATATGGGTGAGAACAGCTTTTATTCTTCATTTAATTTGAAGGAATGTGGGCTCTAAAATCGGACAGAACTAAATTGTACCATTCATGAGCTGTTTACTGCAAGTTTTTTAACCTTAGTCTTTTTTTTAACATATGATTATTGTAAAAATTGAATAATTAATGTGGTAAAAAGTTCTCAGCACAACTAGCTGTAATACAATAACTATTTAAAAAATTTTAGTAGTAAAATTAATATAAATTAACTTAGATCTGAGTACTTTCAAGCCTACTGAAATTAGACTAGCAAATCACCAGCAGTGGCACATAGCTAGACTTGGTGGCCTGCCACAGGGGATATGCATAAACACATGGGACATTACTAGATATCCGGAGAAGGATATACAGATACATTCTCAGATTTGTGAGTAAAACTTTAGTAAAACAGTTTCTTTTAAAAAAAAAAAAATTATCTAGTAATAATATCAGCATCCAGTTGCTAGGAATTGTCTATGCATTATTTTCCTTTGTGTGATAAGATGCTGTTGCCAGACATGTGACCCATCATTCTATCCAAATGGTGTGAATAAGAATACCCTTGCTGCTGCAGCTGCAGAATGCATAGAAGTTGCTGGGGTGACCAGACAGTCCTTTGTGTCGCTACTCTACTTACAGCTGTGCTTTAGTATATGCCACAAATAGCTCAGTGACCTGCATTTGACCCCATGGTCAGCGTTTCCTCAGTGAATCTTTGTGACTGTGATATTTGTCTCTACTTCATTGATTTGGGTTTGAAATTTCAGTAGTACTTTTGAGGCTGCTTGGCCAATATTTGAGTACAGTGACACTTAGATGTAGCCCCATGGTCCCAAAAGCCAGTAATCCTTTAGCCAGGATTTACTAAAACAAAGCTTACCTCGCATTTGACTGTATAATGGTTTGACATTAGTTCAGAACAAATACAGTGAATGTCTGCCATGTATCAGGTGCCATTAAAGCTGATAAATTCTATTTTCAATCAGTAATTATATTTCAATGAAGTAAAATCCTTGAAGAAAGATATCCTATGGCTGATGTGTGATTATCCTGTTAGTGTCTGGGGAAGATGGTAAATTTAAAACAGGAAATGGTTCGCTGGCACAAAGGTGGCTGTTTCTGAGCCAGTGCTGCACCCACTGCAGTGGAGAATCCATGTTCAAGGCACTAATGCCAGCCCAGGGAAGCAGAGTTGAAAGCAGCAACTGGTCTCCCAAAGGGCTCTCCTGCTGTAGGACTAGCTAGGCAGAAGCCGACAGGGGCACAGCTAAGTGATTAGAGCCCTGCCAGTGACCCACAATGTGCTCAGCATGAAATAAGGAGGTTCATGACATTATCTCCCCAACGTCCTTGCATGCTTCCCTCACTCCACTTTGGAACTCAAAGGACTTGGGCAAGGCTCAAGCCTCAGCAATTCAGCTATGGGGACTGTAACACCATAGCTGGGGACTGTGGAAATACTGTCCATGGCAATTGATGGGACATCCTTCAGGGAAAAATCCCTAATAATGAAGGGTCACTCTTACCAGTGTGACATTTTTGGAGCCACTGTTATATCTTAACCCGACTTCTTTTGTCCAGAACGTAGCTTTGAAGTTCATCTTAAGATTTTCTTGGGTGTCCAGAGTTTTGCTGTCTCATGTGTTACAGCTTCCATTTACTCTCTAGAAAGCCACCCTTGATGACATCCTATTTAGAAGCTTTTTGACTATTTCTTTTCTCTTGTCTCGTACAAATTTGTGTGCATCAAAATCACCTGGAGGCTTTATTACAACACGGATTGCTGGGCATTTCTATCAAGTTCTCTGGTCATGGTTGCTCGTCTAGAGACCACATTTTGAGAATCACTGGTCTTAACAGGAAGAGGAAAAAAAAATCTAACAGTCTGATATACTGTGCTACGTGAAAGTTCTGCGATAGCTTAAATGAGCATATGAAAGGGTTAAAGAGGTTTACTGTGACCCTGTTTTCTTTAACACCTATTAAGATCCTGACACTCTAGCATTTCCTAGCTACAGCTTGCTCCTAGTAACTACTCAACATTTATTACAGGCAAACAATTTGTATCAGGCAACTGTGAGAAGAGCAAAACCTCTAGATGAGATAAGTAATATAGTTTATTTCTATTGAATCTTTCCTATGTCCTATTTTCTTTCCACTTATTTTTTTCCAGAAGTGGGATAGAGGGGGAAAATTCAGATTAATTAAAAGTTTGAGTCAAAGCACCGATACAGTTGTAGAGAAGACTGGAGGAGGAAGGCGATAGTAACGGAGTGAGGGAAACGCTGACACGCTGGCTGTAGCACAATTCAAGTTTATTCCATTTGTTCTTGCAACACAAAACTTCAACACAATATTATTTAGCATTCTGATGTACATGAACTAGGATAATATGAGAAACCCAATTGTGTCAAACGCATTACATTGTGGAAAAAATGAACTCAAATATATCAAAATGCACAAAGCACTAGTCTTCCTCCATTACTGCTTAGAAAGATATGATTGTTTCTCCATTTACAAAATAGAATCAGGACAATTTAAATTTTTTAAAATTTTGCATGCAAAACACTGCAGTTACTTATGTAGGAGGGCACTCTCACCAGCTTCTTCTATACACAATCGAGTATACAGTATTGCATGGAAGGAAACAGCAGCTCAGTTGAAGATTTAGGAAAAAAAAAATCAAATAGGTACATATAGATTTGAAATCCATTATTTGGGGGAAAGAAATCAATGAATCAAGGGCGTACTTGCTGGCAGCTTCCACTCACTGCACCCACCTACCTCGCCTTCATGCCCCACTGGGTTTAGAAGGTGAGCTGTGAACTACTGCATCGATTCTTGTGCCGTAGCTCAACTGTAAGTCTACAGATACCAGTCTGAGGCTGCAAGGGGGAATCTGTTAGTATACTAATGGAGACAGGTAAACCACCTGTTTTCACTTGATACAGTGCATACGATATGACTGACTTAATACAAAACTACAGAACATGCAAGATTTTTTCTGAGATGTTAAATATTACTTCAGTGGAGAACAAAACTTACTTAATCTTTTACTAATGCATGTAGTACCAAAAAGCAGACAAGGTTTTAGCTTCCTTTAGTCAAAATATGAACATTAAGTGTTGTGAATTTCTCTGCCAAGTGGTTCAGAAATACATTATAAATAACCTAGTTAAAAAAAAGAAACTAAACCATCTTGGTCAGTCTATTCTGTTTATCTGTTATTTTCTCAAGCAACTGCTTCATAATTATGGGGTTTACAAAATGGCCAAGAAAGAAGAGGGAAGGCAGAGTAGCCTCTACTGCATTACAAGGAACACGAGGATGAAGTGTACACAGAATCACATGGCCTCCAGACCAGGTGACTGTGGAAGCAGACCAGGTTTAGGAATGACAGGACAATGCACTCTGCAGCAGCCAACTACACAAAACACTTTGAGAGTAAAGGTAAGACTGCGTCGAGAGTAAAATCCAAGCCTTTTAAACAGCGGTATGCCAAGAAGTGGAAACAAAGATATCAAAACAGCTTGTCACTCCGCTGACAGTTACAGTCTGATAGAGTGCCCTCCATCTTCAGTGAGGATAGCTCTGTGTTTCAGTTCAGTGATGTTATGAAGTACTGATTACCGACTTTTAATCCTTAAGACAGCAGACTTAGCCAAATGTATCAAAGTTTTTAAACCAGCATTTTGTGATTGTTTTCTTGGATGCAGGAAAATTACAGGGTTAGGCTAGTTTTAAGTGAAAAAGCCACAGGATAAAAAAAGGGTTCACGGGGAAAAACACACACACACCAACCCACACACCAACCAACCAATCAGCAAGTGGCCAATAAGACTTGTTGGCCAGGCTGACTGTTCTTGGTACTAGTTTAACCCTGCTGTAGAATGCTACATTACCTTAAAAAATCATCATTAATTCTTTGTTATCCACAGTCTGAATACAAGTCCCTCACCCACCCTCCCCCGTTTTAAAAATTTGAGGTACATTCAATTATTGCATGACATGGCTAAGGAAAAACCCTTATATTTTTAGTAAGCTTATATGGATGGCAAGTCAAAGGAATCTTAATATTTTATATGCAGGACAGCAAATTTAAGGGTATATGTTTTAATTAGCTGTACTGCTCATGAAATAAACATTAGAAAATGTGTCTTAATATTTTCTGCAGGTCCCAAGAACACCATTTTAGGGCACTGTATTTTAAGAACACAGAATACAATTTGAAGTTCTCACATTTTATGCAATGCATAATATAGAAAGGAAAAAATATATATTATGCAGCTGGGTTGGCATACATTCAGCAGAAGCCTATCAACACCTCAGGGAAACTCGGTAACACGCATATTTTTAAGGGATGGGGTTAAATTTGTCCAAACAGTAAATCTCACCCCAGTGATAGCTTTGGTGCAATAAGTAATCAGCATCCAGGATGGGTCTGAGAGAGGCATTCCAAAGAATGTTCCTTGATTCTCCAAACACAACTGAGGCCAATCCATTCAAATAGCAAATGAAGAAAATCCATAGGTACTAAGACAACTGTTCTCTCTTTATGATACTAACAGGCTTATGGCTATGATTCTATTTTTAAATCCCCTTTTACTACCAGCAGGAGTTTGAAAGTGTTTTCAATGTTCTATAAATGTCTGAATCTAGAGGAAAAAAAAATGCATACTGGAATGATTTCTCCTTTAGACTTCCAAAATTTTGAGATTTTATAAATAAAACTAGTCAGTTTTATCTAAAGATACATGAAATCCATGTGAAGGGGGAGAGGAAATCCAAAGTTCAGCCGCCCAGCAGTTCAGGAGTGTGCCCCTCCTCGCCTTAAATGAGCTTTCACATAAAGCTGCAAGTCACCGAGGGAAGATTTGGTCACCAACCACAGGCAGCGCTCTTAACTATGCCGGGAGATCCCCACTAGAGTGAATCTTAAGGCAGAAGGCTAGAGCTAATTGCTTATCTCAGCACCCTAAGTTACGTCACAGCAGCCACTACTGCTCGCACAGATGGGGCTACCAAATGTATAGTTGGCCTTGGTATAGTCAGACTCTCAACGCAATCTAATTAATAAATTAGCCAGGGAGCTGAAAAGGTCAAACGTTAATGGTATATTTTGTCTTTACTCTCCCATGGGTATAAGCTGTGTTTTTTTTTACTGGAAATGGAAAAGAGGCTCACCTGATCAGGAATCCTAGTAAAAGCCTGATCTTGTTTTTCTCCTCTCCTCCCAAACATTGTTTTTTTCTGGTAGTCTGATTTGTTATGAATTTCTCTCTCCCCTCACCCCTCTAGAAGTATTTTAGCTGAAGAAGCTGGCAGATAGAGAGTGACAGACAGACAGGCAGCAGTGTGAGGCCACAGGAGAGTCATTCTTCCAGAGCTGTTAGCCCATCCGTCCATCACTGAAGAAGGGCTTTGATTGCCTGGTTGTCAGTGGCTTCAAAGGCAGTCAGTCCATCTGGACCTTTCACAGTCTTATCAGCACCCTGGAAAAGAGGAAAGAGCCGTTATCATTAAACGAGGCCCACAACCAGGAGAAGAGAGTGAAAGCCAGGGCGCTTGGCAGAGGCAAAACTCCTTTACTACCGGAGTCCATTCTAGTGAAGGAAAAGCCCCGAACAGCTGGCAAGGTTAGAGACTAAGCTGTAAAAACACCAGATTATTTTTCAGGCACTAGAAATGTAAACTAGAAACACAACTTGCCAATAACATAGGCAATGACTGACTTTTATTTATACTATCATATATTTACTCAATTAAGCTTTAAAAAAGAAGATCCCTATGTAGTATAAAACAGGGAGGGTTGGGAAGGAAATCACTTTTGCTAAAGAAGAAAGTATTACTGCGACAAAATTATCTTTTTTTCTTCTTTGCAACACTTTTTGGAGAGTGCATAAGTAATGCACACATTTGTAAAATCTAGAACTTACAAACCTTTTATTTTAGACATTCCTAAAGAACGTGTACAATATTGGTCATTATACTTAAAAAACTTAGCAGTAAATGGCTGGGATGTGGGCTAGGAAAGGAGGGTCCCTGCTATCTTCTAGGGAAATTCTCTCCAGCTTGCTCTCAATGCTTCATGCAGAGGGTGCTGTCATGGAACATTTTACTTGCAACATGGCACTCTAGTTTCGAGAATGTGTACGCATACCTTTGTGTCTATTGTTTTTATCTGTCTTCCCTTATTAAGAGTAAAAACTCAATGGGAGTAGAAATCTTGTTCATATTATCCACTATTGTGTCCCCAGTATCTAAAAAAGTACCTAGTGCGCGGTGGGTGAATTTGCTCCCAAACCAAGTCTGAACCTCTCTAACTTCCACAGATAGCAACACTCCACCATGGAAAGGTTCTCTGCTAGCTCCAGCCCAACCTGTATGTATTCACCAAATAACCTCTTGTGTCCTGGCCTCCTCCCATTGCCAAGTCTCACTCATTCTTCTGTTCCTGAGGCCTATGGAATTGTCTAAACTTGGCATGCATGGTCCTGTAGAGACAAACTCGAGTCAAATTCACCAGTCTCTTTTCCCATTAATCTTTCAATACTCTAATCCTCTGGAATGTCACCATTCCTCAATGTACCAGGTGCCATGACTTTACACTTGTTGGAATATGGAATGCCTTACCCCCTTTCTGCTGGCAAGTCATTCACTCATTCAACAAATATTTACTGAATGTTTGATGCACAGACACAAAACAAGATAGAGCCTGCCAGTTTGGCTGCTGTGAGAGACAGACAAGTCAACCAGTATGACACAGTGGGATGAGAACAACAGCGTTACGCACAGTGATGAGTGGTCTGTAAACCATAATGGGATGTGGTTAGGAGAGTGTAAGAAAGTCCTTCTGGGTGAGGTAATGCTTGAGCTGAGCCCTGAGTAAGTACAAGTTGATTAGGTAAACCAGGAAGGAGATGACAGACATTCTAGCAAGTGTTAAATTATCACAGAGTCCTCCTCAATATGACTATAAAAGTCTGTTTTCTCTTTTTCTAATTGAATTTAACTGCATTATGGGACATATGGAACTTACAGGTAAGTGAGAGAGAAATCTGTGAGTGAGAACTTCAGTGTGGTGAGTACTCCAGCACAGGTTAAGTGACAATAACTGGGACCATTGTATCCAAAACAAATTTTTAAATTTATTTTTTATTGAATTACAATGTTGTGTTAATTACTGCTGTACAGCAGAAGTGGCTCAGCTATATACATATACAGTACACATTCTTTTCCATATTCTTTTCCATTATGGTTTATCACGGGATATTGAATACAGTTCCCTGTGCTATACAGTAGGACCCTGTTGTTTACCCATTCTATACATAGTAGTTTACATCTGCTAATCCCACATTCCCACTCCTACCCTCTCCCACTGCCCCCCACCCCCTGCCCTGGGGCAACCACCAGTCTGTTCTCTATGTCCCTGATTCTGTTTCATAGATAGGTTCATTTGTGTCATATTTTAGATTCCACATATAAATCATATGGTATTTGTCCTTCTCTATCATACTAAGTTAAGTCAGAAAATCTCTAGGTTCATCCATGTTGCTGCAAATGGCATTATTTCGTTCTTTTTTATGGCCGAGTAGTATTCCATTGTATATAGGTACCGCATCTTCTTTACTCATTCATCTGTTGATGGACATTTAGGTTGTTTCCATGTCCTGGCTATTGTGAACAGTGCTGCTATGAGCATAGGGGTGGCATGTATCTTTTTGAATTATAGTTTTGTCTGGATATATGCCCAGGAGTGGGACTGCTGGATCATATGGTAATTCTATTTTTAGCAAAACAAATTATTTCTTATTCAATATTGATAACTGTTTTTATGACTAACATTGTAAACTGTAATTCTGCATTAACAAAAAGTTAAATATCATAGTGAATATCCGTTGCTTTTTAGCTGCCAGACTTCCCTTCTTTTGATAACAGCACCCTAATTTCATTCTGGGGAATCATTTCTCCCCATTGTGTGGACTCCTAGAACTGTAACTTAAGGTGCCATGTACTTTCCTTGCCAGGCATCAAAGCAGGACGCTCACTTCTGGATTTTGAATCTTGATTAGAGAGAACAAAAGAAAGACAACAAGAAGTCAGAGCTCATTTATTTCTGTGTTATCACCCAGAAGAGACAGTTGAGAAGTTCCTGCTATCTAGAGTCTTACAGCTACCATAGCTCTGGCCTCTTCTGAGCCTGGTCCTCCAGCTTTCCTATTGATTCTATGACTAATCCAACATCTTCAAAAATTCCTTTTCTACTTGTTAGAGTCAACTTCTGCTATTTGCAACCCCAAAAATCTGATAAAAGTATTAAAAATTTTATACAAATCATCTTTTTTTTCTAATTGTAATACAGACTAATCACAGAACTCAGAATACACACCAAAAAACTCCCGGTAAAAAGAATTCCATTGATAATAGCATCAAAAAGAATAAAATGTTAGGAATAAAGTTAATGAACTCAAACCAGTTCTTCTAAAAAAGATAAACCAATTTTGTCAACGTGGAAAAGGATATTAAAAGAAAATGATTTTTTGATACTTGATGCAGTTATTGGAGAACTTAAGTATATCTGGCCTCACCCCTTTCTCAGTAGTTATTAGTTCTAGTGATTATTTCCGTGGCTCTAAGTACTATACTCATGCCACTATTTGAGTTATTAACTTCAGAGATTACCTTCTGACTCCCTGCTGCATGGATGCTGCTCTAGCAGGGAGCACATCCCTTCCCCACATCCTCCCAATGTCTTATACTTCAAATAGCAGTTTCTGTTTCTTTGTAAATATTTTTGTATTTAAAACCTGTTTCTTGTTCCATCAAATTCCTCTACTTTATAAGATACTTTCTCTACCTTCCCACTACTGCCTCTACCTCTTAAATTGCCAGCTTTTCTATTTTGTCAAGATTAACTTTTATATTCAGTTCTGTAAAAACTGTTGTTTATTGATTGATTTTTTCCTCCTATAGTCACCATACTGTATATTATATCCCCAGGACTTACTTATCTTAAAATGGAAGTTTCTACCTTTTGACCACCTTTACCCATTCCTCGCCCCCCCACCTGTTTTCTGTTACCTGTGAATTTTGAGACTCTTCATATAAGTGAGATAATACAGTACTTGTCTTTCTCTGATTTATCTCACTTAGCATAATGCCCTCAAGGTCATCCATGTTGTTGCAAATGGCAGGATTTTCTTCTTTTCTTAATAGCTAAATAATAATCCACTGCATTATGTGTGCATATGTGTGTGTGCATATACACACCCACACAGCCACCCCATTTTATTTATCCATTATCCATGCATCTGTGGATAGACACTTAGGTTATTTTCCTGTCTTGGCTACAGTAAATAATGCTGCAGTGAACACAAGGTGTAGATAACTTTTTGAGTTAGGATTTTTGTTTCCTTCAGATAAACCCCCAGAAGTAAAATTGCTGGATCACATGGCAGTCCTATGTTTAATTTCTTAAGGAACCTCCATACTGTCTTCCACAGAGACTGCAGCAATTTATATCCCCTCCAATAGTGCACAAGGGTTCCCTTTATTCCACATCCTTGCCAACACTTATTATTTCTTATATCTTTGATAGCAGCCATTCTCATAGGTAAGAGGTGACAATTCATTGTGGTTTTGATTTGTATTTGCATGACGATTAGTGACGTTGAGGAACCTTTTTATGTATCTGTTGGCCATCTGTATACCTTCTTTGTATAAATAAATGTCTATTCAGATCCTCTGCCCATTTTAAAATCAGATTTTTTTTTCTACTTTTTTTTTCTATTGAGTTATATGAATTCATTATATATTTTGGGTATTATCCCCTTATCAGATACATGGTTTGCAAATATTTTTCTCCCATTCTACAGGTGGCCTTTTCATTTTGTTGATGGTTTCCTTCGCCTTTAGTGTCAAATTCAAAAACTCATCACCAAGACAAATGTCGAAGAGCTTACTATCTATGTTTTTCTCTAGGAGTTCCATGGTTTCAGGTCTTATTTTAAAGTCTTTAATTCATTTTGAGTCGATTTTTGTGTATGGTGTAAGATAGTGGTCCAGTTTCATTCTTTGCATGTGCCTGTCCACTTTTCTCAACAGTATTTCCCTATTATATATTCTTGGCTGCTTTGTGGTAAATTAATGACTGTGTGTGTGTGTGTGTGTGTGTGTGTGTGTGTATATGAGTTTATTTCTGGATTCTCTATTCTGTTCCATTGATCTATGTACCTGTTTTCACATCAATACTATACTGTTTTGATTCCTACATATTTGTAATATCATTCGGAATCAGGAAATGTGATGCTGCTAGCTTTGTTCTCTTTTCTCAGGATTCCTTTGGCTATTCAGGATCTGCTGTGGTTCCATAAAAATTTTAGCATTGTTTAATCTAGTTCTGTGAAAAATGCCATTGGAATTTTGATGGAAACTGCATTAAAGCTTGCTTTGGGCAGTATGGACATTTTAACAATATTAATGCTGCCAATCC